TGTTCGTCTCCGTGGCATTGAGGTGTACTTTTTACGTGTTGTTTCCATATTTTATTAAATACATATATTTATTCCTAGTTCTCGATTACTCAAGACCCACTCTTTCATTATCTATAATATGGTACCGCTATCTATCATATCTTTCAATTACTGTTCTTCAAAATTTCCAAAGGTTTGGTATTACCGCTATCTATCAAAATTACGACGCCGTCGTTCCGATTACCATCGAGTCTGAAAAACGTCCGGTGCTATTCCTTATGAAAGCTTCAAGCACGAAAAACCGCGGTTATTTTCGCGGCAACCTAATATTTACGATGGCACTCGAAGGTAGGCTGGGGAGCTAACGACGACGACGACCGGGGAAGTTGGAATCCGTCCGCGAGTTCTACGAACAAAAACCGGCCGCCGACGTCGACAGAATTAATTCCGACGTTATTGGGTTGGCGCGGCGAGGGGAGAGGGCGCAAGAATTTATCGGAACCCTGTTTTTCGCGCGAACGTAGCGCGGAATACGGGGAACAACGATTCCGAGGAGCGAAGGCTCGCCGACGACGGCGATACGTGTGGACGCGTTTCCATGGGACTCGAGAAAAAAAGGGAGAAAATGGGAAAGAAGCGAAGAAAAAATGAGAGAGAGAAAGGGGGGCGATGGGGAAGATGACCGTAAAAGGTCTCACGGCGCGCGCGCGTTATGCCGGCGCATAAAACGCCGCCGGGAGCTTTGAATTGTAAATTAAGATCGACGTCCGAGACGTCTCGTGCTCCAATAAAATGTGGTTTATTGTGGAAAATCTTTTACCGTTTGCCGTGTCGACACCCCTTTGAGCGGCGCTACGATCCTCTTATTTGGTTTTATGATGACGCCGCCTGGCCCTACCGTCCCGGGGAGGTAACGACCGAATCGAGCCGTTAAACGCGTCGAATGAGTAACTTTCACGTGCGAAATCTTCGTGGGACGAACGAAATGAATTAGTCGGTCGGGTCGGGTCACCTTGTCAGATTCCATATTGAATATTTACCTTGTCGACATTGTTTTCTAATCGATTCTTTCCTCGACAACCGAAATGTTTGCGTTAGTTCGAATCGTTGGAATACATTCGCGCACGTTTGATTTTCGAAGCACGAATCGGCAGAACCCTAACATAAGGGTTGGAAAGTAGATTTCGTAGACGAATTAATTACCAGACAGAAGGTACTCGAAGAGAGAACTTGAAGCATGAAGCTATGAAACGTCCGTAACTAGTCAGACTCGTTCTTGCAAAGCAAAAGTTTCAATCGACGTCCCGATGAGCCGAATGAATTTCCATTGTTTCCTCCGCAGCGTTCATTCCCGAGCGAATTTCCATTATCCCGCGTGATATCGTGTAGGAACAACAACTGTTTATTTTTGCGGCGGTGATACCCGTAATATTCCGCTCGCTCCGAATTAATTTGGCCGCGTGCGAACCGATTAAATCGGCCGGCCAATTTAAATCCGTCAATCCGCGGAGGTTCGGGCCGCGTAAAGGGTTGGGCGGCGCGTTCGCCTGGATCTGCTCGAAATGTAGCCGCGGCATTGAATGACGTTTATCAAAAGCTTGCCCGGCTAACGCATTATCAGCCACTGCCACTGTTACGCGACTTTCCCCGCCAGATAGCGGCCGGCGTCACGAAAATGTGATTTCGTAGCGCAACCTAGATAAAGCACGACTGTTTATATGATTCCGACCGCGAATTGGATGTTCAACAATATTCTCTCCAAAAACATCGACAGTGGTCTTAATACTCTTTTTCGCTAACTAATCAGTCGTGTTGTCTTTTAAACGTGTACGCCTACATCGTGTATCGCATACTCAATTCTTTCATGCAAATGGTTACTTGCGCATGATGGCGATACACAGCTAGCTGATTAATTATGCAAATTATCTAGAATGTAATTATTATTGTAAAGCGTATTGCTTGTTAACTACGCGAATTATGTGATTATGCAACGGCAACTGCACATTATGCTTCGAATTACGCTACGATCACATGAATATCGCCTGCGGCGACGGAACTGCGACGATAAAAATGTGTTGATTCTCCGGCCGTGATTTGTCGAGAGTGAACGGAGCAACGTGCGCGACTCGTAACGTCGATACCTGAATCAGGCTCACCTCCGCACAGCAGGGAACGTTATCAATTGCAGCGGCGAGCTGCACGATCGCCGGGCTCGTCTTCTGCGTCCCAGGCCCGCTAATGGGCGAACAATGCGGTCCAATGGCGAGTTCCGCGTCGACAATGCCCGCTAAGTAGACTGTAATATCTCCCTTATGTGCTCAAGCAATTATATTCTTCTGCCTCGAATTTCGCGGCCATTCTTCTCCGGCGATGAATGAATTTTAGGATCACGGTTCAGGGATCACCGTCCCGATTATCATGGTCAACGTTGAATAGATCCTTATGCAAATTGCCATTCTTGTTGCTTGTTTTATAGCAGCTGGAACGAAGACATGATTTCTGTCGCTATTAAGCAATTCTGGAACGAGAACTGTTAATTTCCTGTACGATAATGCCTGATACGTTTCCTAATTATCAAACTGCAGACTTCAGAGTACATCCGTAGAAAATTTTGTGCGAAATCAGTGCTTTTGTGTTCATTAGAAAAAATGTTATTCTACGTATGAAGACCTGTCTACTAATTATATCTGTATATATCTATCGTTTCTACCAACTTGCAGTTTCCAGAATTTAATGATAATTATACAAGATTTTTATGCAGATTCATAATTTTAGACTGAAACCTATGAACGAGAGCTTCGATGATCCATATAATAATGCATCTCGAACGATGTCGCGAATTTATTAACCCACAGTTGAGTGAATAGAGGAGATGCACCGCCGTAGAAGTGGAATTTCAGGGCTTTCGGAAGGGAAGATCGGATCTTAGAACCACCGACGTTTCAGGAAGCGGTTTCGAGAACGTGGAGCTTATTATGATATTCGAGGAAATTGTGGCGCGGTCTATCATCCAAATAGAAATATAAAATCCTGGGGATCGCTCCCGGATAGGGGTCAAGCTGCCACTCGTCGCTCCCTCCGAAAACGAACGCCACTCCGAGCAATTTCGCTGTCCGCAACGCGTGTTCCGACGGTCTAGGTCCGTCGGATCGAAACGTGAATTGATACGAATTTGCCGTTTCGCTTTTGAGCCGAGCTCTCATTTCATTTCGTAAACCTTGCACTACTTTCATCGGATTCGTACATTGTCGTCATCGATACGTCGTACAAAGTCAAGCGGACAAATAGAATATTTTGGAAATGCGTATACATGTTTACTAATAATTTATTATTAAATTGAACACTTATACGAATTAATTCGAGAACATTATAGCGACGAACAAACGCAAAGGAAGACACGTCGACGCAATTATTCGAATTGTCCTAGATTCCCAACGAATCGCCGAGGCCGCGATTATTAAAATACGCAGTCTCTATTCCTTATCGCAGCCCTCGCGAAAAATTCCTAAAATCCATTGCACGATTGTCGTGTAACTTTGAAATTAAAGAAGTTCGGCTCCATTGTTCTCGCGGAGTCCTCTAGTTTCTAAAGAACACGAAGTTTAATTCTCTCGCGGTCTTCGAGTTCCTTTTTCACCTTGTAAAGCAATTTCGTAATAACAATGTCGTCTTCATTTTTTAACCGTAACAATGGTAAAGTTTCATGAAAAGGAACAAGTATAATATAATAAAGGAAGAATGACGGAAGGATGAGGTTCTATAAATAAAATGTATTAAGTTATTTCCATAAATAAACAGTTAGAGATCAGATCGCAATTTGTTGAAATTGATAGGTAACGACTCGTCGGTCGTTGGAAATGCGCGTTGAGCCCCGATGAGAGTGACAGTTCTATTTGTTTACAACGGTCGACGAGGGCGCACAGTTTGTCGCCTCCTTTTAAAACGGGCCGTCGATTCACATATTAGATTAACGGTTTAATGGATAACTCGATGAATGACTCTATGTATGGTACGTGTCGGTGCGTAAATTGAACAAATTATAGAAGAATGCCCGTGGTGTTGGTAGATGGACACCCTATGCACGTATACACAGTGGCAGCGTTGCAATAGGGCGCGACGGTTCTCAGCTCGTGCGGGTGCCTTTTCAAATTACCAGCCTAACATCTTCCAACGATAACGTGAAAAATAAATCAAGCTCATTTTTCACCTACAGTACAAATATTTCTCTCCTTACGAGTTAGAAACTCGAATTCGTCCGTGTAACTGAAACACTAATTTATTTACACGAGAAATGTCATTTTCCAGGAGAGAATGTATTGTGTTCTTACAAAAAATTACTTTTAGTTGGAATAGTCTTGTTGGTTAAGAGAAACATTTACGCGAAAGTATCCGAACTGAGAAAATAGCGTTCGCCAATATTGACTCGAATCCTGTGGAACATCAACCCCTTTTGGAAAGCACTCTCGGCAAACGGAAGATAATAACTGGCACTGCTTTACTGTCTTATTCGTTGCTAACGAGTTCTAAGTCTCCATGGGTACCGACAGTAATATGCGTACGTAACAATAACAGACCTATTAACGTATAATTTATTTCAACAGTAAAACGACCGGATAGATCAAAGTAGTTCCTGATTTCTCTGAAATACTTTGAGCTTGTTGCTACCAGAGTAGTACACCACCATCTTATTCGAAATGATATACTTTCCAATGGCGCATTAAATGGCGAGCTATTGTTGCCAGGCACGCGAACATGATCCCGTAGAAAAATCAGGTCTGAAAGAGTTGAGCTGTTCACAATGCGGATTTCCAGGTCGGCTGGAAACGAGGAAAAAGATGAAGATTTAATGACGATCTCGAGGAGATAGCTCGAGATGACCGAGACGCTGGCCGAATCGGTCGCGTGGGTCACGGCATGAGCATCCCTGAATCGCACAATGGGCAACTGGTCATAATTACGGGCGACAAGTGTGCGTGAGCCGGCGTGTGTGTCGGCCAGTCGGTGCGCGTTAAGATCGTGCCGGACACGATCACCATCTTAAGCCAAGATCAGTGTCTCGTGAAAAGTCGAAGGGTTCACGCGTGCCACGCAACGAGTCCGAGTCCCGTGTCCACTCTTTCTGCTTCGCTTCGCGGCTCGAGGGTGGTGCAACGTGTACATATGTTTCTTTGAAATGGTGCTCCTCGATCGCATTCTTTTCGTCCTCGTTATTGGTGAGCTAAACGAACATTCGCCTATCGTTCGACCTATTAACCGGTTAACTGTGTTCGACGAGTATACGCGTCGTCGTAAAGCTTGACTAATTTTTTATTTTTTCACGTAAACATGTAATTCTTCTTCGTTTCGCTTTGATCTTCCATTAAAATATGCTCTACGCGCATTCGTCCTGCGCTCGACGAGTACGCGCTCCATTTTTCGATTTTATTGCGCGCGGAACCAGAGGCTTTTCCAACTAATTCCACAGTTAAACAGTTAAGAGCTGTTCCTCGCGGGTATACTCGTAGCGAAGAAATGGCGGGCTTCTGTGTTGTATGCTCGTCTAAATAACAGTTACTTTTTCGACCCTTTTTGGGACGGAATTTTGAGCTCGCGACAGCTAACTGGTTAATCGGATGGCGAATATACTTGTCACTTTTATTTCTTATTTTTCACTGGTTTACAGTTTTGCCAGCGTTTCTAAACGTACGTCATTCAATTATTTAATAACGTATGTGATATAGATTGGACTATAAAGGAATCTAGATTTAATTATTATAAAATTTTATTTCGCCCTCGTCAGCATTGGTGAATATACAATTTTAAGTGAATAATTCAAATTTGAAGCTAATAATCGCGTTGCTTTTTTGCACCTTTTCGCTACTTATGAAACGGCGCGATTTCGCGTTGAAACAACGCTGCGATCCAATTATTTCGATTTAATACGAAGTTTTACCGAATCTGGAAACGCGAATCAATTGAATTTCATCGGGAGCCTGGTCAGATGGCGCAGGATCGCGTAAACCCTCGAATAATTATGAAAACATTTACGAAACGATTTTTAATTTGAAATCACGCCTCCCCCGCAACGCGGCTAATGGTTGAAGCTGGCCAGGAAACTTCAATTATTTGCGTGCATCCGTTTATTAACGTGCCTTTAATTATTTACATGCATTCGTACGGCTCCTTTTTCCGTATTTGATGTTAATATTCGATAACCCAATAACAAACATTAATTACCATACTATTTACAGAAGAATGATGACACGCTCTGTTTGGGGAACGGAACGAACACCCCTGAAAACAGAGCTTCAATGAAAATATATTTAAACCTCTCCACCGCGATGCTGCTTGTGGGCGTCCCACGCTGTACTTTCGCTTCCACATACGACGCACATTACTTTGAAACATTATCGAACGCTAAACATATATATTCTCGCCGTGTCCTTCCCCGAACAAATCCGACGTTACGCTCTTTAAAAAGGTAAAGTGGGATATCCAGGAGAAAAACGTCGAATCGGTCGCAGTGGAAATCTCTGAAATTTAAAAGCTAAATACAATATCTCCTAATTAGTCTTCAATTTCCCGAACCTGAAATTGAAACCATCCTAAAGCTCTCGATCTCCTGAAGTTCCAAGAGTCGCCGATCGACTATCAAAGCTAACCAGTTCAATCTGATCGAACAGAATCACTGGAGTCGCAATTCTCCAATTACGTTAAGTGTCTGAATGGCAGATCCAGTAGTGATTCAACGTCTGCGTTAAAATTTCCTCCGCGCGAATTCGTTCGACGAAATTTTCCCTCCTCGTTGGAGGAACTGGTAACGAAACCATGATTCGTGCGAAAGCAAGCTTGTCCGGCTCTTTTTTCAGCCGGAATAACCGATGGAAAATTGCGTGTCCGGGGGATCAAAACACTATCGGGAAGACTGGTATCGTTCGGAGACCCTTTTTCCACTGTCACCGGTGTCATTTCGTTCAAAGCCAGTGACAGTCGACCCCAGCCGCGAATATTCGCCAGATAAAATCTTTGACACGTGCACATGGCGTGACATAACCGCGCGTACATTCCTTCTTTCGCTGAATTCCGCAAATTAATCCGGCAGAAAGGTAAAAACGGCGTTTCTCTGGTCGGCGAACGCAAACAGCCGCGTTTTCGTTCGAGTAATCTGCAGAAATGAAAATTTGTATGATTCGTGCATCAAACGTAGAAACGAATTCACCGTTTCTCTCGAATGTATCTTCGACTCGCTATTACTTTCGATAACTTTGTTCCATCCTCGATGATTTCCAGTTGAACGTGGAATGAATTCGTAATGGAGAAATAAGAAGGTGTCGAATTAGTCTCTCCATTTAATACACACTTCGGTCTGCGCGATAATCGGACAGTTTAATTCTAACGATTAACCTACCGAAGCCTCGGTTCAGACACGTGCGGGCTATTTAAAAGGGGAATAACAGTGGATTTCGGTGAGTTTCAATGTCCCTGGGAGAAGGAGCTAGTTAAGCTTCACAGAATGTTACTTACGCTCCACTTGGAAAGAATGGCTGCGAACCCGAAAGTTTCGATAGGAATAAAATGAAGGTGGTGGAAAATGCTGGAGTTTATGACACCCGCTGCACCCGAAATTCCAAGTTGTTCGGAGTTTGAACTTTAACTGGCTATCGTTTTCGAGAATTATAAAAACGTACTCTTTAACGATTCCACTTTGATCACTCCTGGAGATGATAGATAAACGAGAAATGTTCGCTAGTCGTAATACATTGAACGTATCAGCCACTTGTAGAATATCTCCGCGACGGAAATTCGTTGAAATGAACCGTTAAACTCGTACAGTTAATAATACATCGCGGAATACCCAATTCTATTGTACTTCACACGTCAGACAGATTAATCTGATTACCGCAAAACGGCGCAAGTACCCTCGCATTACTAAATAAGCTAGTCATCCTCTGCAAAGCGTGAATCCTCCAGCCCTCGTGTTTGCTCGCCTAAAAGTAGACAAATATACTTGCTTCGGCCCGCCGCTCCAGCACGGATAAACAAAGAATCGATTATCGTCTAACAAATGTGTGTCAGCTGTTGACTAGCCTACATGTTCCTCCTACATAACAACTATTTGCACTCGATAGTTTTTTTGCTTGATGTATCGATATATAAATTTTGATATTAAATATCGAATTTCATAATTTGAATTGTAAACGGTCGATTCATCCCTTGATCGTATTCTCATCCTAAAACATCGCACCGACTCCGTTCGAATTCATCAGAGTTTCGCCGACTGTTCCGCTCATCCTCGGTGTTCGGATAATGAATTTCAGGATCACCGCTGCGAGGACGACATGGGAACGGGAACAGGACGGACAGGCAGGAATCGCGTTAACATCTCCCCATCGGTTATAAACCGATCGCAGTTAAACCGTCACATTTATTCAATTTTCCCGGAACTTTCCCAATTTCCCGGAGGCTGCCCGCTAAATTCGCTACGAATTAATTCGCCACGAATCTGATTGCGTCCCATCCTCCTTCCCCGTTGCCGGGCCGTGCTCGCCGATTTACCTCGCATGGAAATATTGCGCGCTCGGAAAAACAACGGCCGCGGTAAGACTCGATTCACACTGGCGGTCAACGGATCGTGTCAAATCATAATCGGTCACGATCTTTGCTAGTGTGACAATATGTAATTCAGCGAACGCGTTCAAAGTCGACGGTGTGCACAAGCAATTAACGAAATTTCTACAAAACAATGAATTGCGCGATTTCAACGATCTAGATCGCGAAGATTAGTGACTCCGTTAACAAAGATCCCACCGTATATTTATTAAAGTTTATTCGATTCAATTATGCTCTCAACAAAGAAATAAGACAATTAAATTTTCAAAATATCAATAGGTCATTAGCTTCTACAGGATACCGACAGGACAATCGAAATTGCTTTCGATCGTCGAATGCAAAGACCCGAGCAAAATCCTCGATATCAAAAGATCGCGATCGGACCGTTGACCGCCAGTGTGAAAGAAGCTTAACGAATTTCACGGATTGGTCTCGCGAGGCTCGTTCCGTTCGTAAACACCTGAAATTGCGGCGCGCCCCTTTCCCCCCGTTTTCTTTTTAACGAACCCCGCGCCGAAAATTCCCGACGACACGGTGACAACGGTCGTCAACGAGGTCCGAGGCGTCCCGACCTCGGAATCACCGACATACATAATGCATACGGGAATCTGCATCCGAGTTTCCCAGACGCGCGCTCGCGCGCCTGCATCAGAAACTAGAAAGCGAACATTATCGCGTAACAATGGAGTTGTAGCGGACCGGGGAGTTGAATTGCGACGGGCCGACGGGAAACGAGAAAGGGAGCGAGTTGGACCGGAAATGAGAAACTAGAGGAATCTTTCGTTGCTTTTTTCTCGAACGAGGATCGAAATTCGATCGTGTTTTCGTTTTTCTTTCGGTTTTCGTTCTTCGAATTGACGGGGATTGGGCAACGAATTTTACCCTGCGAATTTTTTATCTGGCGGTAAGATAAGGATACGATATATATAAGTATGATGAGCATGTCGGGAAGTAGAGGGAAATAATTAAAAAATTTGTTTTCAGTCGGATACGGTATAATCTAGCTGGCGTTGATAAAAATGCAAATTTTAATGAACTACCTCGCAGAGCGAGATATAAAATGTTCCTTCATTTTGTTGATGATTTCATTGGAGTCCGAAATAAATAGAAACCTCGTTAAACTTTATTGGACGTTCCGTCGTATCGATACTCGCGCAATCCTGCGCGCTGCGAATGATTAATGGTTAACGATTATGATACGCATTGGGAAATGATTGCGGTTAATGCAACAGAAACTAATTGCGACCGGCGAGACGGTGAAAATAGTCAAAGCGTGAATTTAACCGTGTGATATGATTAATTCGATTACCATTGATCACGGAACGATTACGCTTGCAATTACGAACGAATCGATAGGTGTATCGTTGTACACGAGTGACGATGCTGAACAATATGATTGATAAAAGCTGAAGCGTACTGTAAAAACGATCGGAATATAGAATTATCGGAATAGGTTCTCATTCGATCGACCGTTTCGATCCGGATAAATTGATAATCGATCTCCCATTCTCCTTCGCTCGTTATCCAAATAATATTCAAATTCTCGATATTTCAAATTCCTTGTCCCATTAACGCGTCGACTGCCGATAAATTCTATCCTCTGCGGAGAACCCGATCCTCAACCGATACAGCTCGAAACGGAAGTATCCAATAACACCTACGACTCTATCTCTGCTGAACCGTTTCAGCCAGAACCGGTATATAACAGTTCGAAACGGTTATTTTTGGAAGCTTCTCAATCCCTGCCACTAATGGAACGAATCTGTTGCAGCAGGTAGCCAGGCGGCTGTAAACAATGGCTTCAAAAGTTACCCGACGACGGTGAAGACGTTCGAGAGTGATACGGTGCTACTTCCGTGTTACGTCGAGGATCTCGGTGAGTCTGCGAGCAAACTTTCCGCTTTCTCGGCGAATCGTCGAGCAAACACGTCCTGCAGTGTAATTGATTGCGGTTCGATCGCCGCTCCGGGCGAGTTGGCCAACTGGTCGGTCGGTCGGACATAGGTAAACCGGAGGCATCGGTAATTCAGGAGCCTCGCGACACGAAAAATCGTGTACGTCCGGGTGTGTGCCTCCGGCGTTCGGTTAGAAACTGCTGCAAACAAATATCACCTGTTGCGTCTCGTAAACTGCAACAACCGTGTAACTATAGGTTCGTTACGCGGCGATCCATCTTTTCCGCGAACGGATACCCGTCCGGGGAACAGATTTCGACGGGGACGATATATTGGATCGTTCGGAACATCTGTCCTTCGTGAAATACGACAGCGTCGCGCTGATGGCCTCTTATAATCCGTTTTGCCGGGGAATATGCGAAACGGGGAGTTCTTGCGTCGAAAGCTCCGCTGAATCTTTCCAACGTTTATTGCGTTGTTGCGGTAAGTGAACTACTTCCGGTCCACGTAGATCGATTCCGTTGTCGCGAAGGTTGACGGACATTTAGGCGAGTTCTAAACAGAAAGAAGACTTCCCACCGAAGCGGCGTCGAAATCCTCGGATCGGCCCGTCCGTTTAAAGTCGCTGGAAGACCGCAGTCTCGATTCGACGGTCGACACTAATTTCGCTAAGCAGCATCGCGTTCAAGGCGACACCGGCGCACGGTTACGGAGAGCAAACAATTTACCGTGGAATCGATCGAGCTGTCATCGGCGGTTTCGCTAACGGGATTGCCTGTCGGACTATTCCGCTTTGGCTTGTCGCAACTTCGACAGGAGGTCACGTCCGTTAAGACGATCAACGATTTTCAAGATTGGCCGGGATTAAGGGCTCGATTCGGATTAAGCAGCAGGCCCTTCGCCTCCCCGTCGCGAACGCGAACTTTGCCCGATGAACTACGGCCTCGACACTCTGTCGGGCTGGGATTACGGCGGAATTAGGTCGAAGGAAGAACACTTAACTGACTCCGTGGTTACGTATCGGTTCGGAGTTCGATAAATTGCAGCTCGATGCGCCCGGAAGGGCATAAGCGTATCAATGACCTTCCTCGATGGTTCCTCGATGGTTCCTCGATGGTTCCTCGATGGTTCCGCGATGGTTCCGCGAGGATTTCGAACGCTGCAGTCATTATTGCGTCGATCGATTTCTTTAAAATCATGTATCGACATTAACTGGATACTAAAATATGATATTCGCAATGCAATGCGATTCTTTTACAGGATTTTTGAACAGTACAATAACGAAACCTCAGTTTCCACGGTAATTCGCTGAAAATCGGTTTCCTCTTCCACGCGACTTCCACTAATCCGAAAGCAAGCACGAAACACACCGGGAAAACATCCGGCGAGATACTTACATATCCCTGGACATTCGAATCGAAAGCCGGCTTTCAGTGGGCGCCGTGTTTAACGATCTCGCGAAAAACTCGATTACCGCGGTGTAGGACGTGGCCGCTCTCGTTCCACGAGCGGGAAAGCGAGATACTCTCGGATCCGTTTATTTGTAACAGCGGATTGCTTCTGGTTAAATCTGATCGGTCACGGACGAAACGAAATGCGAAATAATTTGTTGATTGAAAGCAGACGAGCGATCGATTAACGCTTTGCGGACGAATGTCGACATTTTGCCGACGTGAAACTTTCATCTTTCGAACACTAAGTAGCCAACAACCGTTTTCAACTACTCGAATAGCAAGAAATAAGTATATACAATAGTTTCCTTATTTGTTATTCAGCAGTCGATGCGTAATTTGTCAAAGTCCGCAGAAGGTTTCGTATAATTTAAAAAATCTTCGTCCGCAAAGGATTAGCACTAGAACTACCGAGCATCTAATACGATTAATATGCAATTCCCATAAAAATTGTAACAATAGATTATCTTCAGTTTCTTCAGACATTCACTGTAGTACTGAAATGAAACAATTTATTTTCAAAATCATTTCGAATATTCAATTTTTATATTTTGCTACACAAAAAATTCGAAATCAGTCATTTCGACTGGCACGATAGTTCTAGCGTTAAAGCGGTCGGATCAAGCTGCTCGGGAAGAGGCGATCCTCGCGGAAATTGAAAGTAGTTTTCCGTTTCCGTGCGTCCAGATAACGTGCAGACCAGGGTCAGATGGTGGAGGGACGGCATCCTTTTGGCCGACAGCGGCGAGCCACGACACGTCCCGCCCGACAGAGTTAAAATGTACTCGAACAGGAGCCTGGAGGTTTCTCAGGTGAAACGGAACGATACCGGCGAGTACGTGTGCCAGGCGTCCCGACCGGCTCCCTGGGGACACGCGACGCAAGTGCACGAGATCGAAGTGATGTGTAAGTACGCCGTCGCCCCGTTTGTCACGTTAAGCGCCATGTCAGTCGTTGGTGACTGACGCTTCTGAATGACTGGAAAACAATCGTAACACACAAGATAACTGATGTGAAATGAAAATGTTTAATAACGTAATCATGTTGATGATAGCGTTACGCAACCATTGTAACGACAAATAATCAATAATAATACGCCTTTAAACTTCCCCGAGAATCGAGGCCCATCGAAACTGGGTTCGGGACGCGAGGGACGAAACGAGACGAAATTCGAACGGAGAATCCTCGGAAAAAATATTACCCCGTCGGCTAGGAATCTCCTCACGATCGCGTTCGTTAGATATTCCGAATGTTCGTTTCTCGTTGATTGCGGGAAGACGAGTCGTCGGTTCGCGGGGACTTGGGAACAGGGGTCGAATATTAACGTGGTCACTCGTAATATCTGTTCTAATGGAATAATCTCGTTTAGGCGTTTACCCTTAAGGATGTTTTTACAAGTGATTCTCTGCTAATAGATTTCTTCGAGACAGGAGAATCAATGTACATCAGAATGTAAACCAGGTCTAAACGGGTTAATTGGTGAAATAGATAACGGGACAACGGTGGCAGCATTAATTGGAATCGATAAATTTAAACCCGACACGCCCGGAGAAAGAACGAGCCTATTCGTGTCCGTTGGGACATTGGAATCGATTCTATCGGACGTATCGTTGTCTCGGTCGACGTTCACTGCTACGAGGATCTTGAGCTTTTTATGTTATTTCTGTATGTGCTGCTACTTTCTTCAATGATATTTCGAACGTTTCGATATAGATCAGAAATACAAAAAAACAAACAAACAAATAAATAAGTACATCGAAATAAATAGTCCTCCAGCGAATTGCGATTGCTTAGAAGCAATTGCGAAACGTGGATCACCGGTGACCACTGCGCCAGTCGACACGTTAAATTGTATACGACCCGCGGGCGTCGCCTTTGTATCTCGCATCGGCGTTCCGCAAACAGATTCCGGGAAAGTTTCCAGGGCTCGGGTAATCCTCCACGGAGTATTTTTCCCGTAACGGGGATTTCAGCTGGCGTCTGCGCGCGGGAAAATAAGGAAAACCGTTCACGGGCCGGGCCATCTTACGCGGAATCGAATTCTGCGGCTCTTAGCCGGCTCCCGCGGGACCGGAAACGAACGTTCCCTTTCTGGCGAGTAACGATCCAACGTTTCCGCCAGACCGGATCAACTCGGCGACCGTCCGAGTTAGTTTTAATTAATATTGCCCGACTTTAGATAGAAAATCTCGATTCCGCTAACTTTCCAAGACCCCCGAAATGTAATCCGAGGGATTACGAATTGTTTTGCAGCATCATCTCGCGACTGAGATACGAGTATTGCTTTCGTTTAAACGTGGAACAGGATTCCATTAATTTCGACTGCTCGTTATTGACCGTGATGATACAGTTAATGAACGGAAATGAGAAGGAAACGGTAATAATGTGGGTGCGAACATTCGAAACAAGTTCCGTTGAGTACGTTCCAACGGTCGCTACGAACTTCGATGAAGATAATATTTAAAATAACAGCCTGCTGCCCCGTAACGAAAACAAATTCTACATTTGGGATCGTTCGCGCGACTCGGGAAAGCTTGAAAATACAGTTCGGAATCGGCGATAGGAGAGAAACGTTGCTTGCAGATCCCCCGAGCGTCCATCCAGTGCCAAAGTCCGGCAAACTGGAAGTTAATCTAGGAGATGAGGTGAAAATGGCGTGCGAGGCGGAAGGTGTTCCACTGCCTACCATATCCTGGAGGAACAAGGTAATCGATAACCTCCTGACATTCGACCGGCGATCCAGTTTTTCAGCTAGAAATTAATCGTTTAATCAAACCGATCAACTTCGTTTCTTTGTTTACGGGTTTAACGCTGGAACACTTAATTACCCGTAATCCGGTTAGATTCGCTTGTTTTTTATTCCTCGCTCGGACGAATGGACGGCTGAAAAATTCAGTTATGGGCACCGCGGGACCAATAACAATGTTTATTTATTGGCAGGACGGTGAGATACCGTTCGTTTACGACAGGTCGCAGCTGCGTTTCCACGCGGAGAATTCCAGCGTCGCCGGTCGTTACACTTGCGTCGCGAACAACGACGTCGGCGATCCAGCCACGGCAACTATAGACCTCTACGTCAGATGTGAGTGAGATTTTCGTTTGATTAATCGCAATCCCCTTCCTTCGTCGAGTCCGACATTCTCACCGATGTTATTCAACCGCCGGAATTATTCTCATTCTATAAAGAATTCTAAAGGAGACTAATTAATGCGCCTTCTATCTCGACTGCTGATTCTTCTCGATCCATGCTTCATAAAGGAGCAACGACAATAATTATTATACTCCGAGGTTACTTCGTTCTATTAAGCTACCTGGAAATCTTCTCGACGAGGAACTTTTTCAAGGACCGAACAACGAAAGTCCCCGAAGAATGGTAGAAAGTTGTTGACCGAACTGGCCAGTGCATAGTTTCATAAAATTTCATTGAACAAAGGGAAACTCGTCTCCGAAGTTTCTTAAAGAGTTACGCGGTAATTTGTCGAGTGACTATCCACTTCGAGAACCGAATCGATGTGAAAATTGCAGTACATTGATGTGGCAGGAGTTGTTCGCGATGCACCTACGTTCGACTTAATCATCGACTTTACATATGGCGTCCCGTGCAGCGCGGAAGTAATCGCGTGCGGCATCCTGCGCGCGCTCTTAAACGATCATGATTAAATTAGGAAATTGCCTGGCATTCCTCCCTTTAGTATTCCGATCAGACATCTGCACGATCTAATTGCAGCCACGCGACGTTCGGATGCGTCGAATCGTCCGTTGCCGATAATCGAGACGATCATCGTTCACGTCCGTGCGCTGAAAACTCTCGCGAAAACAGTGGAGAAGCCATATCCTCAACGAACCGGTGACTCACCGCGCCAAATAATTCGATGATTAAGTGTGTCGTAATATTAATCATTGGGACTGTCGGATAATTAATGGCACCACTGTTCCGAGCGCCATGACGGTACACTGTGCCAGTAAAGAACGATCGTAAACTCTTCTGAGAACATCCTACAGAAAAGCTAAATGCTTTCTTTTCATTATTAAACCGAGATATTGTAATTTCGTTAAACAACTGCGTACAGTAAATTTATCAATTTGTATATTGGTAATTAATATCTTTCAAAGAATGAGAAATCGACACGCAACTTTGTACGACATTGATCTGTGAATCGACAAAATTTCTTTAACCTTCGAACAATGACACTTGGTTCCATCGTAATCCAGTTTTCAAAGGTTCCATTTAATTACTAAACTTCTTATATGATTGATTCGGTTTCTTTAATATCTAGGAAAATTGAAGTAGAAGATAGCTGAATTACGGTCCATTTTTCGAAGGTTAAGCTATCGTTGAACCTGATATCTAACATTTGTCATTTTTCCAACGACGGACAAACACAGACAAGCCCAGAATCGAGAAGACGAAGACTTGGATGAACGCACCGCCCGGTGTACGCGTGCAGTTGCATTGCGGGGTGTCTGCTTGGCCGGAGGCGACGGTGAGCAATTTTACAAGGCAACGAGCAACCTCATTACCATGCCGGCAATTAACAGTTCGAATAACAATGACCGTCAACTTTTCGCGCAACAGCGAATCGTGCTGGTCCTTCGGGACCTAGCCCTACCGAGGATCCCTTCATTCTCGAACTATTAATTATCCGCATCGGGAGTTCCCTTATCACGTTTCGAAGCATTGATAAGGGATCGTACACTTGGTCTTGAATATATTATTAACCCTGGAAAGGTAACCTTCATATTTGCTACACAAGTGGTTACGTGGTGTCGTATGAGACACCAATGAAATCATCCGAACCGAAAATATTTGAAAGAACATTTTCTTTTCTAAAGAACTCCAGTAATTTTCGCAGCATTCTTTTAATAGTCTACTGACTGAAAGAGTAATTGATTAAACCTCGAGTTAAAGATCGTCTTCCGTGCTGCCGTCGAGGAGTCATCCTAAATAAAACAGTCGGGTAACTTGAATCAATATTTTTACTTAATCGCCTGAGCAGATTCGAGCTTTGCGGACAAATGAGGTCCTCGATCAAAGAACCGGAAACGGGTTCCGTTTAATCCCTTCCGTGCTTAGCGCAGGACACGAGTACCGGCCGAGGCGCATTTTCTATTCTCGTGATTTAATTAATCCACCATCGTTCGCGGACGGCAAAGAAAATGCATGTTTCAGGTTACGTTTAAATATTTCACGTCGCCTTTTACCTCGCCGCGCAACTTCCGAACCGAACTTCGATAGTTCCAAACGCGTGCCTGGATGAATATTTCAAAGCGAACTCTTCGAATCCGGCCCTACCGTTTGAAAATTCCTTCGGAGCCCTTCCACGTTCGCCGATTGCCGAGCAGATTTTCTCCAACTTTCCCTTCACAATACTCGAAAGTTGCGCCTCGTTAACGCGTTATAATATCAAATCTTATAAATCTACAGAAATTCAAAAATATAATTTACTCTTCCTATATAAAGAATAGAAAGCGAAATCCATTTCTGAGCCACGAAGCTGCAATAAAGAATACTGCTACCGCTATACTAAACGCGACTATTGTTACAGCAATGATTATTGCACTCGCGCGCTAAGGGATTGAAAGGTGTAGAAAGAAATAAACGAAACGAAAGACGAAATTGTATCTACCAGCGGCTAAACAAGAAATCCAAACTCCGAAACCGATAGACCTATCGGTTAATCAGATCTAAACTCGACGAAGCGTACCTCGGCGCGTAGGTCGCAGACCTGTTCGAGGGGAATCGGGCTCGGCGAAGCGGTCCGAGCCCGCGGAATCTCGGGGCAGCAATTTCTTAGCCGTTAACCCTTTCGTGGGCTGGTTACAAGTGACAAATCGATTCGCGGGGGAACGTGACTCGCGAAAAGCACCCGTCGGGCTCGAGTTCCTCGCTGACGCAGCGTTTACCCGGGTTTCTCTTCGAAGAACGGCACAGGGTGCATGCACTTTTCGCGGTTGCATCGCGACACGCTCGATAACCCTTCTGTACAGAGTGTTTCAAGAATACGCGTCACCGCGACGCGATTCTACGCCTTTCGTTTCAAGCAGATTCGTTCGTCTCGACCTTGAGAGAAGGTCAAATGGATAAAGGACACGTCGATCGGTTGGGTTTGACGGCGTATCGTCAATCGAAATCGCGAAACTGTTAAACACCGAATAATCGACGAGCTCCGTACAGCTAGTGTGAATGGAACTTGAATTTCGGAAATTTAAGCGGGAACGTTTGTCCCATAGGTGGAGTGGTACTTCAACAACAGAAGCGTGAAGTACTCGTCGAGAATCGTGAAGCATAACTCGTGCGGCGATCACAGTTTAGTGATCAGGAACGTCAGGACGACGGATTACGGTTTCTACATGTGCAGGGCTTCTAATTCCTTGGGAATCACCGAGGCGGCGATCGAATTATCGGGTATCCCGAACCCGGCCGCCTTCAAAAAGAGTCACGGCCTGTCAAAGACCTCGTACAATTTCGTCTGGGAAGTCTACAGTTACAGTCCCATCATCCAGTGCGAGTTCAAGTTTCGGAAATGTAAGGTAAGATTCCAATGCCTAGATGGAAGGTTCGAGCACCGGGAAAATCGGATAGCTAACAATGTCGGAGTTCACCTTGGATTCACCACGAAATTTGTTGTCTTTGTTGTATTTGTTAAGCTTAATATTACATATGAGTATATCCAGTGGTGGATTCAGTTTGTAATTAATCTTCCCTGATCGCTCTCTAATCAGAATGGCGTCGGTGGCCAATGGCACACGTTGTACATACCAAATGGCAACGACGACAACAGTTACGTTCACACTTATTCGTTCACCCTAACGGGGCTGGAAGAGGCATCGCACTATGAAGCGGTTGTCTCGTCGAAGAATCGTTACGGGTGGAGCAAACCCTCGGAAATAATGCGATTCGCGACGGAAGGTGCTTGTAAGTAATAATGACAAATGGCCACCCCTCCGTCTCGGGAATAACGATTCGACTGGTTTCATATTTTCACTCGTTTCAGCCGACGAGGACAACTATGTGACCAACTCGATACAGGAGGACAAGATCGTACCAGGTAAACAGTTATTGAACAATCCGATAGTGTCGGTTAGACACGATTTAACGAATGTTACAAATTATTTTGTGGAACGTTTCAATCGACATCTTACCGAAGAAACGTTTCAATTATTTTTACTAACCGGCACTGTAGTTTTTCTGGTGAATTATTTTCTGATTGTTCAGTTGCTTATTTTAATGTATACAATTATTTTGTCAACAGAAGTACAATTTGCATCGATGTCGCAGCACTCGACCTTAAGCGCTAACGGAAGCGGATCGAACTTGAACCGGAGAGAAATGATGATGATGATTCCTGTATTATATATTCTTAGCGTGAATTTTTAAAATTGTCAATTTTTCTTTTTTGTATAGAATATGTCCGTGTTCGGTGATTTACTGTAGTAAGCGTACAAGCGAAAGGAGATTATTGGAAGAAAAATGATTCGTGTCCTACATTAGGATAAACTTTCGTAAGATAAGATTGACGAGCTTTAAAATTGTACATAAATTTGAACCTATATATTTCGCACATTATAATTCCATTACGACTACTCGAGGTTGCTTTTCTTCTTTATTTTTAAGGGATTACGATTAATGTTGTATTTCGGTTTAATTCTCGCCTCGACCATCCAAATATATATACCGACAAAACCAGCAAATGATACCAATTGTAGAATTTAAGAAACATTAAGTAATTTCCTAGCAATGCAAAGATTTAAAAATAAAACGTAGCGTAAGTCTTAATAAAACATAGATGTTGCGAGTAGTTTTATTTATACGCGATGATGAGAAAGATTTAATTGAATCGTTTGACTCGTATCTGTTAACTTTTATTTTATCAATTTTCGATGATGTATTCGTATATATTGAAGTTGTATTTACTTTCGAACAAATTACTGAATAAACGTGTAATTATTTGGGGAAATAATTTAGAAATTATATGAAAAATTGACCAAACGTGCAACCTTGCGTTGTAATGGACGATTTCATTTGCATAACGTATAGAGATTTTTAACGATACTAATATTTCAAATTCGTACGCAGATCCTATTGGATGAGAGGTTTTAATGTTTTAAAATTAAATCTTAAATTTATGATAATATTTGATAACAACAAATGCGATAAAAAATAATCAGAAATGCCATCTATGGGAAACTCTCCAAACTGTTACGTAATGTGAGAGTTTGGTCATTCGTCCACAGATGGCGCCTCCAATGCGAGACATCGTTAAAGTGTCCAGGACGAGCTACTAGGAATGAATTTATTAAACTTCCCTGTTTTCTTTAAAATACTTGAAAAGAAATGTAAATTTGTATTCACAAATAACCACACTCCACTTTCAATTGCAACGTTACAATTCGTGGGTTCAATAATGTATAATTTTCTATTCTTTTATAGGTAGCTTCGCCGGTGCTCCTGAAAATTAATGTTTTTTCTAAATATTACAGCGGTGGGTAAGTAAGACTATTTGTTTCATACGTTCAGCACAGTGTATTTATTAAACGTTGGTTATATTCGACCGATAAGAATAGGGTAAATAGTTACACGTCCAGATTATTGGTTTGTACGGTGATAGTATTGAGCAGATGTCAAACACCGTCTACACGAGGTCTTCATACGGTGACTCCATTTTGTATAATGTGTAATTAGTCGTACAGCTTCTGTACTATCCTGAGCATTTCATTCAGAATGTTATCAACGTACATTGGAAGATTACTATCCGTAAATCTCAATTCTTTCAAGTGCAATCTTCGCAGTATATCACAAATATCCAATGTTAATACGAAAGAGGCGCTTGGAAAGCGCATAAAAGTACAGGTTAGACGTGTTACATTACTTTCGATATCATGCTGATATTCACCTCGTCCATTCTCTATATTTTTAATATTTTACCATTGATCTTTTTCTGAAGAGCTAAGAATTTCCTTTTTATTTATCATTCATCGTTCGTTTATTAATTTAGGGTTGGGTGCGGGCACTCAGGAAAATGAAAGAGAACATATTCATTGATATTTCTGATGGATTAACGCCGAAAATGTTGCAAGTCGTTGTACCGAGATCCCACAAGCCGGAGAAATTAACTTACGGCAGTAGTGTTAATGCAGAAGGGGAATTAGTTTTGGCTCCAAACGGTATGGTAGAATTACACGCGAGCAATGTTACAGTGATCGGTGAATGCGATCTTATGGATGGGTATCCTTTCCTTCCAAGGAAACAGTATTCCGGGGAATATAATAGACAGTATTTACATTTAAGACCAAGAACTAGAACTTTCTCTTCTTTACTAAGGCTAAGAGATTTAGCATCTTCCGCTATTGGAAGTTACTTTAGAGACAGAGGGTTCATTAACATACACACTCCAATCTTAACTTCGAATGATTGCGAAGGTGCTGGTGAATTATTTCTAGTAAAACCATCTTCTACAGAGATACTGAAAGCTATGGAAAAGAAAGACATGCTCGAAGAAGAATTTTATTTTAATAGTAAGGCTTATTTAACAGTGTCTGGACAATTGCATCTAGAAGCTGTTGCAAGGTGAATAAATTACATTCTTGTACAACCGATAGTTAGGTGGCAAAAAGTTGAATTTTAAAAATATAAATACATTGACTGCTAAATCTTTCTAGAGCTCTTACAAATGTATATACTTTTGGACCAACATTTAGAGCTGAAAATTGTAAATCAAGATTGCATTTGTCTGAATTTTACATGTTAGAAGCTGAAATAGCATTTATTAATACTCTTGACAATCTAATGGATGAAATTGAATTAATGATCAAATTTATTACTAAAGAATTAGTTGAGAAAGGTACTTCCGACATGAATTTTATTGGTGCTCATGAACCACAGTGGTTGAATCAAAAGTTTACACGCATAACATATGATGATGCATTTCGGATATTAGAAAGTAATGTTCAGACATTAGAAACACCTGTTACTTATGGAAAAACGCTCACTAAAGAGCAAGAATTATTTTTAATAGAACAGAACAATAATATTCCTATATTTGTCATGAATTGGCCAAAAGAAAGTAAAGCCTTTTATATGAAAGAATGTAATGATGATACTTCAAAGGTGAGAGAAATTGACTTGTAAGTAGTACAATGCTTTTAATTAATAAGCATTGAGTGTTATACTTTTCTTTAAAGGTTGCTGCTATGGATCTATTAGTTCCTGTAGTAGGGGAGTTAGTAGGAGGGAGTTTGCGTGAAGATGATTATGAAAAATTGCAATCAAAATTACCTGTAAAATCCAATCTCTCTTGGTATTTAGAACTTCGTAAATATGGAAATGTCCCAACAGGTGGTTTTGGAATGGGTTTTGAGAGATTTTTACAATGTGTTTTGGGTATAGCTAATATTAAAGACACGCTACCATTCCCTAGGTGGCCTCATAATTGCAGTCTATAAACAAAGATTTCAGGGTTACATGTCTGCTTCATAACAAACGTAATAGATATTGTCTCCTACTGAACTAACAATTAAAATGACACTTTAGGGGTCAGTAAAATACATTTTCCAGAAACACTTCTATGAATAAAGGTTCTATCCTGATTTCCATTATATTCACGTTTGAGATTGAAGGTGACATTAAATGTACACTCTGATGTAGGAAAGCACAATTTTATTCAATTTATTTCAGTGTAATGTGAACGTTCAATGTTACAAAGTTTCACTATACTAAGGACAAGGAGTAAACAGTAACTTTAATACATATTCTTTTTTTTTTCTAAAAATAAGTTTTATTGGATATCGAGATAAATCTCAACTAAAGAATAACTTTCTTATTAATACGTTTTTATTTCTTCAAGTATTTTGTATAGTTAAAAATTTAAACTTCTAAAGTTTTTTTTTCCAGCAATGACGACTATTATAAGGGATTTTTTTAGAAAGGTAAATTTAGGATTATAAATAAGCAACCAAAGGAAGTCAGACCCCGAATAATCAACAAGATTTCTTTTTATACAACAAAATAATCTTCCTCTAATAGTAACTGTTTTTCTTCCTTACCCAATATCGTCGCGATTATTTTAATGTTGATATTTTTATGTACATCATAATCAACAATTTTATATATCACACAATTTGTACATCTAACTGAATTGGGTAATATCTCTCTCGCTCTCTTGTTCTCTCTCTCCCTCGTTACTTGCAGAATCTTGCTGCTTTCGTTCTTGTGAAATGAAATCAGAATTACACCTCTAGAAAACAATCACGTCGAGTACCTTTCGAATATTTTTACAAAGTACAAACAGTATGAAATTCTTAGTCTCTTGTGCATATCAATGATGCATTTCTGACATGTTTCTGTCATGAAATACGATTGCACTTCTCATATTCGGGAATGCTACTTTACCATTGTGTATCTCGCTCTAGTTAAATCATTTCGATTACATTAAATATGTACAGTTCTTGTTCTCTTTTAAACTTAATTAAAACTTAAAAAATGAAGAGCTAAACATACTCGCAGACTCATATACGCACTCACGCATTGCGATATACATACATTATAACTTATACGACATGATATTTAAAAAGCACTAGGGATATGTGAATGTGATCAATTTTTTTTACCGTGATTGGCAGTCGAAACATATAAATACTCAAGGTAAAAACGGGAATATGAAATGCAAAAACAAAAAGATATGTATAATACATACATAAGAAAACACGAATCATACGATAAGAAACAAAAATGGGAAAGTACAAAAATTCTGTGGTATATCATCAGGTCGTATAAGTTGCACAACGGTGTGATGTACAACGCGTAAATTCTTAAATCGTAAGTAGCGCTAAGCACAAAGTACATTCCAAGTCACACGCAAACTTTCGCACGCATACACGTCTCAAACATATATTACAGGTACTATTTACATGATCGAGCAGAGTCCCGACAACTCTTGTCCTCGTTCCACGGGTGGTAAATTGGACAACTTTCTACCTTGCAAAGCAGGCTTAATAGAGGCAGGCACCAAAGGTTCTGTTACTTCTTCAATAGGTGTCTCGGTTCCAGGCTTTTCTTTCTCTTTAGGTTCTTCTGGTTCTTTGTTGATACACAATGGTTTTGTAATATTAATCTTAATACGAGACGGCGCCGCTGGAATCGCTGCCGGCGTAGAATCCAATTCTACATTTCCATCTATAGAACTTTTCACAGCAGCGTACGTTGTGTCAACTGATGCAGGTTCAGCAATTACGCTCTCTTCTGGGTCTAATTGTACAAATGTTTTCAAAATTTTGAAAAATTAGTATACTTCAAGAAAAGCTATCTTAAACGATCAACGAAAAATCTTTAACACCAATATCTTTTTAAACTTCCTTTCGGCTGTGACAGTAACTGTTCTTTTGTACTGTATAAATCTACTAATAAAGATATCAAACGTACCTGGCTCCGGATCAACAGGTTCTTCTTTTACTTCCACGCTGGCAAAATCAAATTGTTCTTCTTCCAACTGCTCCTCGGGCTCGTCAAGTGGCTCTTCTTTGATTTTAATATTTTCAAACGGTTTATCTACAATCTCTGTTTGGGATTCTTCCGTTTCAGTGGTTGTAGGCACAACCTCTTTCTCCATGGCTTCACCATGAATAGATTCCTCGTTATTCTTTTGCAGTTCTTGCTCTTCTTCCACTTTTTCGTTTTGCTCTATATCCATGCTATCTACAATCATGGCTTCATCTTCTTTTTGAATAACTTCAGACGTTTCTTCCTGAACAGCCTCTTCCATCGCTTCATCGGAGGTATCTGCTGCTGTTTCATTTTCAGGAAGCAACGTTTCCATGCTTAACTCTTCAGTTTTATTTTCTTCTACTAACGTATCGTCAGAATTTTCCTTCTTTTCATCCTCCATTTCTTCAATGGTTTCTTCAAGCGCTAGCGCGGATTTTTCCAAAGCTCTCTAATGACGTAAAAAAAGTATAAAAATATTAGATTCCCATTTTAGTGAGCACTATTCATATGGAGATGTGTATTACTGATCACTATATACGTGCAACAATATTACGGAAATAAAAATTTACGTCAACTCTCTAAACTGTACTAATGTATATACAGGATTATCATCAATATTCCATCAAACTCACTGCAAGGACATATTTAGCATAAAAAAAAAACAATAAAATAAGTTGATGTAGATATGTGCTCTATTCGACCGTCTCTAAGTTGTAGCGAGTTTTGTGTATTGAAAATACTTCCAGTTTACCTTCACAATAGATACCGAAAGCGGCGAACCAACTCTCAAATGAGAAGGTTCATTTAATTTAATTTTCTCCTTTAAAGAATCGTTGTAGTACGAAGTATGACATAACTAGAAATTATTAATGGTATAACTTCAAATAAATTTCTATTTAAATTAATTATATTCCCAAAACTTATTTAAATTCATAACCAAAGTGAATACTACATTTTATATGACATCCTGTACATAGCTACTAGTTTAGAACTGTTGATAATATATAACACAGTACTTATTTAACAAGATGAAAAAATATTGCAGAGTATATTGAACTCGTTTAACACATATGAATAATTTTAATAGTTTAATCATTTTTAAACAATCAGTATGATTGCTTCTACTTGATTATTCATTTAATGCTGAAAATAAACATGTAACACAAAAGGAAACAAATCTTATGAAAGGGGAAGAGACAAACTGAAAAGGTATATGACAGCTTTTACGTTACGTTCGTCAGTGCCTAATTAATTCCACTATATCTATACGTGAAGAAACAGTTTGCAAGTGCAATATATGAATATTAGTTATTATTAATAAGCACATACCACAAGACTCTTTTCCTATTTTTTGTAAGAATGCAACAGATAGAAAATTCGTTAATAAACTTATATTGATATTGTAATTGATCGAAAATACAGCGGAAAATTGTTAACATAAACCCCATTAGAAAATGAAAGCAGAGTACCAACCTTGTAGTCCTCTAAACACAGTGGATGGTAATTCTTTCCTTCGAAATTAATTGCCGGTCTTAAATGCCATTCTTCCTTCTCTTCATTGTAAAATTGTTCAAATGCATCATGGCACACTTGACACCTGGAATCCTCATCAGATCCCGTAGGAACACTAGGTTGCAATGTTTCCTGAGGAGAGTCTTCTGGTGCAATACCTTCTGTATCTGCCGTTTGTTTCTCCGTTTCGAACCAACTTTGTGCTAAATAAACAAAACCCATTGAATACTTTGTAAATACAAAAAACTCTGAAATACGATTAACACTTTCAACTTCTGTACCTCTGTCCTCCAGATCTTCAATTTCTTCAAATTGTATCCAATCGCTAACATCATAGTACCAAGGTCGTGAATGAGCTTTCCTCGCAGAATCTCTTTCTCGCCTATTTTGTCTGAAATGCCAATCTAAATGATGACTGTAACGGGTCGCCAATTCAGGCGCAAATCTAGCACCGCAGGAGCTGCACTGCATTCCACTGTATAATGCTGCTGCGATCGCTGGTTGTTTACTGTAAAGAACATAAAGGTGTTTGATATATTGGATAATCAAATCTCATTCGATGAGAAGTTAAAGTAACTCTACAGAAATCCACTTACACTTTTAGCGTCTCTGGCTTATCGAATGAGACGGGGATAATTTCCGGTTCCTTCTTTTCTTCTTCTTCTTCTGGTTTCTTCTGCTCCGAGAGGTTTGGTACAATACCAGTTTCAACGAGTCTCTGGAACAACTCGTTCATGTTCAACGGTAACGATAATGCTGGAGCAGTCGACGATGGATTTTCCGCTGGTTCTGCTTGATACGACAGACCAGATGCTGGGGCCATTGCGGATGGTAATACCGAAGACAACATATCCAATTGCAAGTCTGAAATTACGAGAATTTTCGCTACAAGACTAATGAAATGTTACATAGAAGTGTACACGAAAAATACGCCTAATAATAACAATTGATTACAACGGATGTAAGATGTTGCTTTACGAATACAATATTTACCCGGTTTAGGAGTAGATCTAAGATCAGAACCATCTTGCGACGTTGACTCGGGTTCGACGGTCGAGAATTGTGCTGGTGCAGTAGTTGTATCCGATACTTTTGGTTTCTGGGTTAATAGAGGCGGAGTGGGCGGCGATTCGATAGGTTCTTCGCCTCTCATGCCAGCAATTTTAACATAACCTGGCCGAACTCCTCTTGGCACTACCGAAAACCTTATAAAATGCTTTTTATCTCTAACAATGATAGGCTTAGGCAGTCCTCCAAATTCAACTTTAAATGGACGTCCATTCAGTAGAACAGTTTGTAACGAGTCTATAAATTCGAGTGTATGAGGCTTTCCTTCGATTTCAAATCTGTAACAATTCATTGATTATTATTTACTTGAAATTCACTTTACCTTTACTGTAAGCTATTTATATTGAAGTAAACTCACATTTGTGGCTTCGCATCTAAAAAGACGGGAACCATATTCCTCGCATTGATAATCAGATTAATTTTAGCAACCACCAAATCTGTTCTCTTCACAGTACCAATTTTAACTTGTGGCGGCGGTCCTTCAAGTTTGATACTAACTTTCTTACCACCCAAATCTATCGTTATAGGCATACCACCGAAATAACATTCGTACCATCTATCATCGACATACAATTCTCTCGTGGGCGCACCTAATTTAATTCTGAAAACATTCAAGAATAACATGATTAATTTTGTGGTTCGGAGATTACAAAGATCTCGCAAATAGTAGAAAGATCAATGCATACCTATGAACTTCACCTTCGTACATAAATTCTTTGTATTGATCGTTAAATGCGCAAGTTATAGTATCTTTGTCATCAATTAAAATCCGTCTTATACCGTCTTGGAATCCAATTTCTCTCGGATCATCCCAATTCATGAAGACTACTCCTGTTTGGCCATAGTATCGAATTTCACGTGGTATATTATCAATGTTTATAGATTTCATAGTATCTCTTGCTATTTCGTCCAACAATTTCGGATCTGGCGGTGGTAATTCACGGCTATGGGGATTGGTATTCTTTACAATTGTACTGGAATAATTTTGATCGCCATCCTCAAGGTCGTACTTGGAGGTTGAATTTGGCGATACATTTCTCGTGGCTAAAGAAGTTATGTTTGGATTTGACATAAGATTTGATATTGGCCCATTATTCATCATCATTCCGGGTCCATTTATGCCTGACAGAGATATCGCTGGATTAGGTATACCCATTGGACCAATTGGACCATTGGGCAGAAGGTTCGACATCAGAGGTCCGTTAGGCCCCATAGGTCCGATAATGCCGGGTCCCAAACGAGGATTCGGACCAAGGTTATGATTAAAACCACCGTGATACTGATAATCTGGACGCATTGGTCCAAAATGTCTTGGATTTTGCCATGGACCGACAGGTCGGAAATCCGAATTGAAGTGTCCTTGAGGACCATACGCTGGCCCTGGCGGATGAGCCCATGGTCCCGGTTGTTGCCATGGTTGATTTTGCCACCTTGGGCCATTTGCATTTCGTGGGATCGGATGCTCTTTACCTCTCATAACTTCTTTATCGCTTGATGGACTGAAGGTTGATGCACGGTCTCCCGGACCACCGGCTATATCCAAATTTACACCTTTCTCCCAAACGATACAACCTACTTCCTTCTCTTTACGTTGCGCAGCTCTCAACTTGCGGTCCTCGCTCATGTGTAGAACTTCTTGAATCAGAGTATTGTATTGCGTTTTAGTAATAGAGCCCTGATTCAATTGTTCGGCAGCCTGTTTCATTATTATTTCAATATTTCTATCTTCATTTCTTTCAGGTTTATCATTCTCCCGACCTCGTCGTCCTGGTCTGTTATCTTGGTCTTCGTTAGACAATGTTCTTCTTCTTTCTTTAGGATCATCAGGAAGCTTATTATAAAGCCTGAGTCTACCCAATCTGTCCCTGTTCCGGTCTCTACTATCCCTCTTGTCGTCGGTGTTATTCGCTTGCTTATCTCTATCGCTCTTTGAAGGGGTTTTCAATTTCGCCCATCCATCTTTGCCATCTTCACCCGATATTACAGGCGGAGGAGGTGTCGGCGGCCGTCCAGCTTTAGGATGAGTTAGAGTACGCAGATCCACATCCTCATTTCCGAACAATCTGTAACGACAGAAAAATTAATTGTATCCAAAGTCAGTGTTGCATACCTACCATTCTATTAAAAGTAAGAAAGGAAATTGCAAAAATACATACGCATCAAATTTCTCGGTCTTGGTTTTTTTAGCTATAGCTGACTCCATGTGTTCCGAACTTTGCCTCTTGTTGGTATTAACAGGCGGTGGCAACACACGTAAATCTAAGTCTTCTTCTGAAAAAGATTTCAAAATGATATGAATTGTCTCGTTTAGAATTGATCGAACTTCATACGCATGTATTTTAATTTTACCAGCGCATAGGATCTTTGTATCCTTTTTGCATGCTAGTTTTATATCTTGTATAAATAATAAATGTGTGCTTTGCTCAAGATAAGAACAAAGATTACATGTTACTTATAAATAAAACATGTTTACATTTCATCCCTTTCTATCTTGGAATCGATATTAGGGCTGAAATCCTTGTTTAGTAAATGTATCACCATTCACATACTGATAAATTATAACTCACCATAGAGTAACGTTAAATAGTCATTATATGTACATATATATGTATATATAATATATACGTATATATTCTATCTGCAAGAGCCTTATAAAATATACATGGGAAGAAATGCAAGTTATCGACTCACTCTTTTCTGGTACAGAAGCAGTTGCACCTGGAAGAGGTAGCGATGCTCTCAAGTCTTCATCTTTGCTGGATGACTCCAAAGTTGGTTCCACGGTAGCTTGAGCGTTTCCAGCATTTGCTGGAGATCGCTCGGGACTAAGACTGCCGTCCTTATTTCGCCTTACGTAATTTCTTTGTCTAGCGTTTGGACGAATTTCTTTGAACGCGGGTGGATGAGGAGGAGAGACTATCAGTGAACCAGATTGCTCCTCCTCAGTGACACCGCCGGAACTGCTTACACTTGAATTGGATTTTGTATCGTTACGCCTGGGAATTCTATATGGAGGACTTGGGCTGCGCTTTCTCGATTTCGTGTTCTTCTTTCGATTTTTAGAGGTTTGAAAGGATTGGGGAGAGGTACGCGAGGATGGTGAACTGTCTCCACTGTCTTTTTCACGAGATTTGGACCTAACAGGACTAACGTCTCTGTCGATTTTCGGTATCTTATTCGGAGATGTCTGAGGTTGTTTAGATCGCGACTTGTTAACTATTTTCCTATGCGAGGACTTCGAGGAAGTGGAAGATTTCTCGACCGTTGACGACGAAGAGCTCCGTGAGTTGGAGCTCTTCGAGTCTTTCGCCTTGGAATCGCTACTGCCACTTCCTCTACAGCTCACGGATAATGTTGCAGAACTACTAGTTAGCTCAGATGAAATCTGAGAACCTTTCAAGCTATTACTGTTTAGGTTACCACTACTATTACTAGACAATCGAGGGTCTTTCTTTTGACTTGTTCGATGCGACACAGCATCTTTATTTGCGTTACCACTGAAATTTTTATTGTTATTATTATTGTTGAGGTTCGTATTAGCATTATTGTTATTACTAGCGTTTATCGTCGCAGTATCGGAGCCGGCAAGATTTGTTGGAGACTTGTTGATAGTGCTAGTCACAGCCTGTTTCGAAAGTAACTGCTGTTTTAATTGATCTGAAAGTACAGTGTTTGTATTTGCCGCTAGCTGCGTTTGGCCTTCACCCCGCGTATCCTTTTGAGTTGGTGTACTTATTCGCTGTCGAGGATCAACGCTTGAAACTGGTACATCTTGAGTTGGTGTCGTCTTTAATCTTGGATCACGAGACACAGGCTTAGCTGACGCTACTGCTATACTACTAGCCGGTGCGATTCGTGGACCATTGTTCGTCCCTGCATTTTTCAGAAGTGACGCAGTCGCTGCTGGAAACTTTAGAAAGAAAAAGAAACAACTTAGAACCATGGTATCTCTATTTAAATTAGAAATTATTAAAAGCATGACAAATTTCTTAAACAAGTAATTACCTGTTTTGTTACTGGTTTTGGTGTTTGAGCTGGTATTGTAGGTGTAACACACTTTCCTTGTGTAATAGTATCCACGCTGGGCGGTATCACATGAGTAGTAGCTGCAACCTACAAATAAAGCATAAAGAGAGATATTTTTACATTTTGTGTATCTTAAAGTGTATCATATTATAAAATTATTTTTACTGACCAATTCTGCTTTCAAATTTCCCGCTTGCTTATCCAACTGCCGTTGTTGTTGTTCTAAATTAGCTTTAGCCTGAAGTAATTCTAATTCAATCTTTTTCTTCTGTAATTCTAATAATTCTCGTTGTTTCTTTAGTAACTGCTCCCGCATTGCTGCTTCCGTTGGTGTTACGGGATCACCCGGAGGCAGTTTAACAGGTGCCACAATTGGTTGTGATACAATCGTAGTTGCAGACTGTTGAGGCTAGAAATAATTTAAATAGATCATTGTAAAAGTGTTGTTCAAAGGAGTATAACGAAATTATATAAAATGTTTCTTCTAACCATCGAGAAAAATCGAGGATTCACGTGTATAGATCCTGAAGAAACACTAGTAGGGGAGGCAGTGATTGGCCAGGCAGGATCAATACTTTGCACCCGTACATCCAAAGAAAATAACTTTTTCGCAGGGAATACATCATTCCATGTTTGCCTCAACTTCCACATACTGGCTCGTGTGTTCTCATCCACCTGTTTATTTATGCAAAAATTACTATTCTTGGATCTTCTATATGTTTTCCTCATGAGGAAAGCTGTCTATGTACAATGATGAAAAAAGTAATAGTGCAATGACCCAGTATTGACAAAACAATTATCTTATAGTATTACAAAGGACAAGACAATCTTGTCGTTGCAATCTATCTCTTCTTATTAGAAACAGATATAATATGTACAAGGTAACAAATGATTGACATACAAGGTGACATAAGACAGTATGTGGAAAAAAAGAAACATACCTTCTCGAACACTCCACAAAAAGTGTTTACAATATTTTGTGTGAAGAGATTTAAATATGCTCCATTTACATTCTTCACGATTGAATCAATCAAATATAAAACAGGCAATTTGATGTCACTTCTCACCTATTAAAATAAAATATATTTTATTTATATCTAAACTCAAAATATTGATAAATTCAAGCTATTATTTCATACCGCAATTGATTTAACCCTTCCCCCAAAATAAATATAGCACACTCATATGTAAATGTTATATTTTGAAACAATTTCTTTAATATTTTAAAAATTAATTTATTCTAATTGTTCCACAATTTGTTTATCTTTTAAGTGACATTTGGAACAACATAAGGAAAAATTTATTTCTCTGTATACAAATATAAATAATTATTTTAGATAACTATCTCTAGACTTCCTGTAACTAATAATGTGGTATGCAATATAGCATTGTTATTTCTAATAGTAAAAATATGTTAACATTAAGTATTCATAAAGAAAATACAAACTAATAATATACAAGTAATATATTTTATACTATACATATAAATATCCCCTAAAGTAATTATACTGCATAAATAACCTTTTGTAGATGATTCTCGACTGCTTGCACAATTGCCGGTGCATGTTCAATGTTGTCTTCTGCCAGCATTGTAAGCATATTAATCAATGGCTTGCTATTGATCGTCAAGTCAGACAGCGATGAGATATACTCATCTGCTATCTCCTTAGACTTTGTTGACGTCATGATGTTGCCAGTCGATAAGTGCAACAAATCTTCGTCAAATTGACAGTGATATTTACACTATGACACAGAAAAAACAGGTGTTAAATAAACAAATATGTTTTCATACTCCAGGAAGGCAATAAAAGGAACACGAATCTCTTATTGATTTTTTATTAACGTAACATATCGTATAGAGCCATAAAACTTTATGATTTATCTTATGATGCAATTACTAAGAACGTAAGACGATCTTAACATGAAAAAATCCATGGGCACAATCCATACACGCAACTTAAAAATGAATAAATTAATTGTAAATGTTATTATCCACGAATACAAAAGTATTAAAATACTTGAATATTCATATCATGAAATACAATTGTATTAACAAACTGTCAATGCTGAGATTTAATGAGCAATCAAATAAGTATTATTCTTCACAGTACATCTACATAATATCATAACAAAACTGAGGAACTGAAGCAGGTAATTGGAATGATTTGTTACAATAACAGGAAAGTACTTTGTGCAACGTTTTTTCTTAGCTTTCGATGATGGTTAAGCTGTTACACTTTTACTGGATCTGAATATGTAGGACAGAAATTACTGAACCCGTTCATGAATTTTTCAAGATTTCGTTTCTACCAAGTAAAATCAACGAGATCGTTGACCTCAAAGAACCCAAGTCGATAAGAAGAAATTAGCACATTAACTGTTTCTATTTATGTAATATTATCTGGAGCCTTTTCACGACAGATTAATAAATTTTAGACGCATATCGATTTTTTTTCTGCCAGTCTCCGAATTCTACGCTTTCGAAAACTATTTTTTTTTTACACAGTCGTCGTAACATACACGCACATTCTAGAAGTTCAGCACAAATACCAAAGTGTACACGAATAGCGAGCACGCATCTGGATTTCTTCAACGCCCGTTCAGCGAACTTGAACGACATTCGGTTTCACAGACTTCACGTGCAGCCGGCGAGTATTATCGAGAACACGATAAGCAACACTGATCAACATTTACCTTTTCTAACGCATTTCGAACAACAGGAATATCCCGAATCGACGATTATTTTGACTTTCCGTGATAATCACGCGGATTCTACTGCTTACACTGAACGGGATATCCACGTAAAATGGCTGCCATTCCTTTGTACCTTCTAACGGGATTACAATCGTAAAACCGTCATTGCGATTCGCCAGATTTCTCGCTGTGTCGGTTGAATTTCAGGGAACGACCAATGGCAAGCCTCCTTACAAAGTGCGGTACAGCCCGTTTGCTTGGTGGTAGCAAAATTTCACAATTATTCCGCATGAGTCGCTAGTGTGCAAAACTCAAGAATTTGGGCACGTTCTCATTACTGCGATTTATTTCAATATAATTTCGAACAGGCGATCTTTTTTTGATTAATCTATTATTACAAATATTATAATACAATTAAATGCAACATTAACGCAGTAAAGAACTTGAATGAAGGAAAACATTGGAATAAAAAATTACATCGAACATAAGTAGATCACTTATAATATACAAGGTCATTAGCAGCAGAAGTTGCGAGAGTAGTAAATAAAAATATTTGCAACGTGGAAAATGTTTCGCCAGCAGAATTTGTGTGAGCTGGAGAAGATTTTCAGCCAGAATTGGATGCGAATTTAGTGTGGTTGATAGAATGGGTTCACGAGTTACATTTCGGAGAATCAGTCTGGTTAGAGGGAAAAATTAAGTCGTATAACGCACACGTCAAGTGCTGGCTAGCTGGCACTTTTGTCTAAGTGGTCAAACTTGGGTTCTGGTATATGATTCGCTGAGGCGCTCGCGCACACCAATCGGGTTGCGCGGCAAAGAGCGCGAAGAGCTGTCCTATGACGTCACGAGTGCCAGTTTCCCAGCACTTGACAGGTGTAACATAAATGTTGGGGACGTTAATGTTGGAAGGTAATTTTGCAATTTCAGAGTTACAGAGGAAATTGGCCAACATTATCCGTATAGGGCTTGTCAAAGAAGTAGATTATAAAAAAGCTAAAGTTAAGATTGGTTACCATGGATTACTTATCGCGCTGTAAAACTCGATGACAGGTAATAGTGTTGTCACCATTTGGGGAATTGTCATTAGGAGTGGCGTTACCGGCAATATATCAGGAAAAATATCCCCCCCCTCCCTCCAGATAATAAAAAGAAAATAAATAGGGTAAAATTTCAAGGTGGGACAAAGATATATAACAGGGAGAAGCACCATTTTGAATTTGGCATAGTAGATAAAATAACATTGAAAATTGGTAAGTCAAAGATGGAGATGACAAAAAGTGGAATAAAACTGAAAGCAGATAGAATAGACCTTAATTAGTTGGAAGAATGAATAAATGAGTTGTGTAAGTAGGAGATTATTGTGTAGAAGCAACACCACATTTTTGCATTAGCGACAGTAAAAATGTTTCTGTAAATAATAAACCAATGTGTAAACAAGAAGATAGCTTTATCAAAGGAAAAGTAATAACTATTCTTGTAAAAGCTGATTTTTGCTGCTTGATATGATTGTGATATTTGTCCTTCTAACATTATCTACTAATAGATTAGCACAAACCTACTTGAGAATGTAGGAAAAGTCCAAGGAAATTTACAATTAAATTGCAAATTTACTACTGCTTGCCCCTAACTTTAAGCATACAAAAGACAGCTTAAACTATAATATGATTGTTTGACTCTTCTAAACCCTTTCCACTCTCACAAAGGGATCAAGTTGTGACAAGTTTCAACTAAAAATCTGTCACATATAACCTCAATAAAATGCCATGATTAGGAAGAAAATTTGTAGAATTTCTGAAATAAATGTACTTATAAAAAATCTATTAATCAAATAAGACATTGGCAGATTTCAATTGTAATATCATTAAGAATAAGCTAAGAAAAAGCATATTTTAACATTATATAATAATTTGAACTTAAATTCTCGTACGATCGTAACATGTTTACCAACATCCTGGTTTCAACACACTATAAATTGCAGCATGTAAGCAACTATTGAATTTGTGAAAAAATCACTTAAATTTACCGTGTGAATGAGGAATCCGATAGTATTCGTAAGCGGTTATTTTGCACAGACCATTACTTGAGGTGTAATTATCTCGCATAGAAAGAGAAATGGTAATGGCGTAATACTTGAATTAGTCTATTTATTACGTATGATCTTACGGGCTCCGATGATTTCTAAATCGCGGCAACGTCATGATTCAATGGCGGGGACAGGAGAAAACGTCATTTTGACAGAATGGCAGAGTATCTCGCATGCCAGTCTCAATTTCTGTTGAGCGTGCGTTCTCTTTTTACTTTGTGAAAATGGAGCGCCGTGTGTTCAGTGAACCGCGGAAAAACGACGAACGAGGAATAATGCCGTGAAGGAATATTTTCATTGGTGCATTCGAAAAGAAAAGTGCATCTTGTTGGAAGCATATCATACACGAGTTTTCGAATTGCCGTCAACGGTGAGCGATCGTAAAGGATTGTACGCGTGTCGTGCTCGCCAAATGCATCGTTAGTTTTATACAGGACTTCTAACCGTGACGCGGTACGGATGTGATGGAGGATTATAAATTTCTTTTTAAAGTTGTTCTCGTGGGAAACGCGGGCGTCGGCAAGACCTGCCTCGTGCGCAGATTTACCCAGGTATATACGCTGTTAATTGGTTTTGCATTCTTCGCATATTCTATCCATAAAGCAATGAAGATTATTTCATAATGAATAGTTTTTATAGCGTTATTCGGGATCCTGTTTATAAACAGTAACATTTGTTTTTTTACAATATTCTGACTACTACTTTCGACAAATTTTCCGTATTTCTTTCTTTGTATGTTATCAATCCTTAAAAAAATATTAATTATTTACAGGGCTTATTTCCACCTGGTCAAGGTGCAACAATAGGTGTTGATTTCATGATTAAAACTGTAGAAGTAGAAAATGAGAAAGTTAAGGTATGCATATGATGTAATGCATTATGATTCATCCAGTGTAGTGGCATATACTTTTTAGAATCAGTTTATGCCACATATAATCACGGTGAACTTTCTTTTAGCTTCAAATCTGGGACACTGCTGGGCAAGAAAGGTTTCGTTCGATAACTCAAAGCTATTATAGATCAGCTCATGCTTTGATTCTAGTATATGATATTTCTTGTCAGCCTACATTTGATTGTTTACCAGATTGGTTAAGAGAAATTGAAGAATATGCAAGTAACAAAGTTCTTAGGATATTAGTAGGTACGTATAATGTTGATATATCATGCTTTTGTAATGCTTTATCATTAATGTTAGTTTCGCTATTTGTGATTGATTTATAGGTAATAAAATTGATCGGGAAGATAGGGAAATACCAACACATGTAGGAGAAGACTTTGCACAAAGACATGGAATGTACTTTTTGGAAACTTCTGCTAAGGAAGCAGAGAATGTAGAACGGTTATTTATGGAAATTGCAGCTGAACTCATGGAGGTAATCAAACGATGCATACTTTGTTCAAAAATTTTTACATTAGGATTCAATTATATCTAGGCTAATAAATATTTTAGCAAGCACGTAGTAAGGAACTACCTAGATACGAAACAAATACAACATCGATAAATGGAAAAACGACAGCAATTGGTGATACAAGTAACTGTGGTTGTAGTCGACTTTCTTAAGTAGCTTTTATATGTAATATTAAGTCATTTAACAAACACAAAATTTCATTTGTTGTATATGTACGTAGGAGACTGTCACACAGTTTTTATAGGGAATGGAAATTAAATATGATATTAACCAGTCTTCTAGAATTAAAAGGAAAGACAATTCTCATACCAGCACGTCTTTGATATTATATGTTAGCATCTAGTGTTATATGATACAAATTATATTAACAGTTTTGTTGCAAAAGTATTTAATACTTGAAACTAAAGTGAATTTTAAGTATGTTGATAAATATTTGTTCAGAAAATAGTATGTTTTTTGATTTTATGTGACTACATTATATGGGTAATAAATAATTTGGGGCCTGCGGTTGGGCATTTAATAATATTTCCATAAATAGAATTACACTATATTTTTTTATAGTATTCTTTTGTTGCGTTGGAAAGTACAAATAAATATTTCAAATTTGATGACTAAATTCAAAGTCATCATAGTGGATATAACGTTTTTACTGAACACTTGTAAGCCTAATATTGTCCAGGATTTTTTTTAATGTGCAATATACATATATAAGTATTTATTATATTGCTGTAAAGTTTTACTAAAGCTGAATACTGAAAGCAGTTGATTCTATATGTTTTTAATATATACTAATTAACGTATATAATTACCTAATAATTTTTTGTATCGGTTATTATTGCTAATCATAATAAGCGTATACATTTCTCACTAGCAGCATTTATATAACCAAAGTTTTGTTATATTTGTTTAAAATTTTATCAATGGTTTTGAAGCAACAAAGAGTTATTGCTTGTTCCATTTGTGTATTGTTTAATGTTATTATTTGTGAATAGTTTATTATTAGCTACATTTTATCGATATCACAATGTTTTTAGCACATTGCTCTAGTCCTGATACTTATTACAATGTAATAAATTATGTATAGGTTTAAAATAATTATGCATTTTTATTAGATGATAATCTGCACATCATGGTTTTGAAATGTTTTTTTATGTCTCTATGCTAACAAGTTATCAGACAGACTTAAAATTTGTAAAATAGTATTGTATGTGAATGATACTTCTCTCAAGAATATTATTCATAATTACAAATAATATTACATTTATCTGTAGCTGAAATAGTTTATAATAATATTAAACTAGAATTATATGCGCGAAAATGGTAGAATGTTTTTGTTAATCATGAAACTTGCAGTGTATCTGTGTTTTTTAAATACACAATGACATAACATACTGAGGAGCATTGTGATTCTTGTAGAATTAAGTTACTCCAACAGAAAAAGTAAAGCTTGAAATTGCTGTCGCCGTGCAATAACAGTTCATTGTTAATAACATATACTGTAAATTTTAAAGACGTTTGAACAGAAACAGAAGTATCTGAATTTTATAATTAAACTGTATTAATGAAAACATATCAGTTTGTATGTGGACGAAAAGCCAACTGTAAAATGAGGGACTTTCTAACTTTTTATCAACAAAAAAATTGTTGACTTAAATATGTAACTTATAAAAGGTATTAAAAATATTTATTACTTAATGTTTAAAAAGTATAATATACTAGATCATTTGGAAGATACCACTTCTAGTAGTCAAATTTGCAAATATAAAATGCGTGCAATTTTAAACGGCAAACAATCTTTTTGATGTTACATTGTACAAGATTCTTATAGGTTGTCTACATTTTATTCGATTATTTCATATGTTTGTTTTATACTTAGTGTATACATTATATAAATTTCAGTGTATCATTAGGAATGAAGCTTTCAAGAAGTATGTTATACACGTTTTAAATTCGCGAATTCTTTAACAGTTGTGTATTACATAATTTATTGTAAATGTTTATAAAAATGCTGAGCAATTATTCCATATAAATAAATAAATCACAATGTAATATTATATGTATGTTTGCATATGAAATTTTCTCTCTTTAACAGAACTGATTGTATTAACATATAAATTATATTTTTATTTTGTAATAAATAGTAATCAAATACAGTGTTCAATTTTAAGAGTAATCGATGGTTCTTTGTTTACTACATACACTAGATTATATTGGACTGTCATTACATATATTAGAATATACTTTGGAGCTGTACTTGTTGAAGAGATATGTCAATTAATTTTTCTTGTATGGATAAATCTAAAGCATCAGGATGCACTGGACTAGGACGGCAGTTACTGATATATGTACCACCAGAATTTTCAACTGCTTCATTTACAGCTGCATAGGCAACAGAAATAGCTCCTTGTTCAGGAGTCTAAAAAAATAATCTTTTATTGCATCTCTTAAACTTCAAACTCTAATGATTATTACTTACCTTGAAAATATATTTACATAATGTTCTATATCTATAAACATAAGAATGTTGAAAAAGATCTGTAAGCACCAATCCTGGATGTACGGAATACACATTTACATTATATCCTTCATCTTTCAATAGTTTTTGTACTCTTTTAGTAAATATTTCTTGTGCCAATTTACTTTGTGCATATGCCTCTTCAGTAATAAATCTATGTCTGTTCCAAGGAAACATATTTTGTTAGCAGAAACATGAATTATGTATAAGCTTAAAAAAATGATGTAACTAGTTTAAACAATGATACAATACTTGTTATTAATGTCTTTGAAGTTAATTTTACCCAGGAGATGAGCACAAGAGCTAACATTGACAATTCTACTAGATTTTTCTGGATTATTTACACCTCCAGCTTTCAGTAATGGTAATAAAAGGACTGATAATAAAAAGTGTGATAAATAATTTACAGCCCACTGTTCTTCAAAACCATCTACTGTCTCTTTATAAGGACAGAACATAACACCAGCTAAAAGAAGTAAAACCATACATGTATATGAATATGTTAACAAAATGGTATTACAAGTTTTGTAACATTAGCGAATCTTACCATTATTTATTAAAATGTGTATTTCTTTGTAGTCTTTTTTTATTTCTGCAGCAAACTGTTTTACAGACTCTAAAGAGGCATTGTCAAGTTTATATACCTTTGCATGGCCACTTTTTACACCAGATCCTCTAATTTGGAGAATTGCTGCTTCACCAGCACTAGGTGTTCTACAAGCTGTAATACGTATTTCAAATACATATTGTATTATTAGCTCTCAGAGATGAATTGTAAATTAATGAACTAATAACAATAAAATAATCCATGACATACCTATTATTGTTTCCATGTCAAGTTCTAAAAGCATTTTAACTACGTGAACACCAATTCCTCTAGATCCTCCTGTTACTATAGCCACTCTACCTGCTTGTGGAGAACATCCTATAAATAGAAAAAAAAGAAATGCTTTGCATAAAACATGAGTGTTCTTCTGAAGATCTAATTTGGTTAATTACATCAGTATCATAGATGAACTTTTCCATTTAGAACTTCAAAGGAGCAGTAATGTTTTAAATAAAGCCACATTAACGTTTCACAATAATATCTTTTCGTTATTTATAATAAAATATATATTACACAAACATAAGGTGCTATACGTTACTTATACGTATACGAAGTTCAAATTTCTGATTTCGAAACAAAGGTGTCGTAAATGTTGCGCGCGATGGTCTACTAAGAATTCAAATAGTTGAGGAAATGATAGTAATGCTGTAACCACGTTTGTATCACTTACTATTTTTATTATATTTCGCGTTGATCCGATCGTTGAAGATTTCCTTGATGGCTAGTAAGCCGAACTTCATTTTGCAAAGAAGTTCAACGATAGCGATGGGCCAACTTTCTCGAGGTTTACGGTACACAAAAATACTCGCGATTATAGCGAAAATTGATCCGATTAGCATCATTTTTTGAATTCGATTCTCTCGTGATTTCGAAACAGCTAAATTCGTGGAATCCCCGCGACAGGTGAATTGTCATACTAAACGCACGCTTGCGACTGAAGAAATTAAATGAGCATCGGAACCTTCTTATCCTCCAGTCACTCTTAAGAATGCCTTATCCCCAGTCACTCTTGAGCTACTTTTCCGTTCCTCTTAAACGGAAGATTTCTACCGTTATACCGGTCGGAGTTGTACTTCGGAACAAGTTACTTTATTTTCGCTTACTTCATAATTTACATTATTATCAAAAAGCATACTAATCGCGTAAGCGAATATATTACAGCTATTTTTATAAAATCCATGCATCCATTATACGATTTAAATCTAAATTAGATATGCATACTTTGAAAAATATTCTTTATTTGTTTGTCGGCCGAAATGACATTGACCACATTTTTGTATTGATACGACCACATAATTCAGCCGTGGCATCATAAACACGTAACTATATGGCTTCGGAAGTATAGTTATGGTATAGTGTGTAATATATCGAAGCTACAACTAAAGGAAATTAATTATTTCTTTTAAATATGTTTCTCACATGTACCTGTTAATTTTTGGATATAAATAAAACGAACTACACTATCTATTTCTGAAGGAAATCACGTAATAACCTGAAATAGTATGGTAGTTTAAATTCGTGTTGTATTTCATTCATAAAATTGTTTCACGAATCTATGTAATTTGAACGGCCATTCTTAGACATGTAATCAGATGCAAAAGCACAGGTTCGAATTAAGCATTAAAGTCTCTTACCAATGATTAAATTCATAAAAACATACTACGTGAAGCATTAAATTGCTCGCAATACAGGTACTAATAATTTACCGATGACTATTATCATCTAATCTCTCATCAGTAATACGACCTAATTCACAAAATTGAAGAAAACTAGTACAAATTAGAAAGTATTTTCTTCAAAATCAAAAGGAAAACTTGTATAAACGTGACATAATTATTTTACGGGACGTGAAATTTCTTTGTAACCACCTCTAGCGGTGAGATGTGCGTACTAAAATGTCTCTTTCATCTATGCAATTTAGTCTTTCAAAGACAAACGTGTACAACTGGTTGCATGATTGCAGGGGATCCAATAATTGCATAATTCCAGTTTATTATAATCACTTATTTGTTCATTTATAATGTATGATAAAACAATTTACATATATAATCATTAAGAATAGATCAATTCATTATACATTTATTCATATATATATACAAATATTCAAGGTGTACAAATAAGTTTCGTTTAATTAAGTAACACCTGCAATGTTATATACCAATAATTACTATGCGTCCAAATTTCTTTTCAGGAATATTATGAAATCCTAAATATTAACTAATAAATCTGAGAACCAGCGAGAAGACGCTAATGTTTATTGCCATCTTGCGATGAAGTTGGAAGTTATCTTTACAGTATCAAGATACATACAGACTTTGCAGTTGATAGGAATTTTTGTTTATGGTACCATTACAGTGACGCTCTCGACGTTACCGATAACACAAGATTTTAGGCTTGTTAGTAGGAATCGAATTAGCTGTATGCTTCATTTATGCTACGAGTGTTTTACTTTTTATATGTAATTATTTAATGAAATAGTTCACAATTTATATCTTGATTTTGATTACGACATAGTCTTTGAAGTTTGACGACCTTAAAAGGCGTACTGATCTAGAAAGCGAATCTCATGAATTTCGTACGAACCTATAATATGGGTTGCGTTGTTTGGAGAGTTATACATATATATATATATATGTATATAATTGTATATATTGTATATAATTCTCCAAACTCGACAAACAACGTGATTTTTCGAGCTGGCAACACTGTAAAAATTGGCCTCCCAAGCACACAGTTTTCATGTTGCAGTCTTCTATAGTTCAGTGGTTGACCGTTCGATTCAGGTAGAGTGTACTAATGCATCGGGGCATTTTTGACGGTGTCGGTATTTCAGAACAGTAGATAGAAAAATACATTGTATGCACAGTCTGTAAGTATCTCAAGTCTGTGCCCCTGGTGCTTCTTTCCAGATGGTTTCTCCAGTGACTGATTTGTAATAGTTAGAATTGTAAAACTGTGTTTTTAAGCCGGTGCGTGTTCCTGAAATGAATCTTTGAATTTTGGTAAGGCCATGCATGAAGACGGGAAAGATCTCCTCCTCGAACGACATTTATTTTCACGTCGATAGCATAGCTCGTTAGTTGAATGTACGTACTCTTGAAAACACACCTCTTACTTAACGTCGGTAATTCGAAGAATCTGAAGTAAGAAAGGTACATGAAATATTCTATTTTCTAGTCGAATCGCATTCGAAAAGATGCGTACTCTGGGTTGTTTTACAATTCTGTTGAATCAGTGATTACATTCGCCTACATGATTCTGCCGTGATGTTATTGGGTGTGCTTGCTTACTATGGTTCTTCTGTTTTTAAGTTTTTAAGTCACCGTACGCTACACCTAAACTTGCGATGTTCATCGGCGAATTAAAAATATAAATGACTTAAGGACCGATCATATTAAAGTCCATATGAACTTGGTGCAGATTGTTGCCCACAGAGTACGTATTGCTCGCAACGATCTAGTTGGAATTAATTTGTCAAACCAACTCTGATGAGTGACTCAACAAAGTATTGTCTCACAAAA